AAGTGTTATTTATAGCATTATAGTCTTGTGCCATCCTGAATACTATAATGCTGCTATTATTATTATTATTATAATTATAATTATTATTATTATTATTATTAATGGCTGAGGTACCTAATAATAATGTGATCTCTTGAGATCAAGGGCTTCATTGGGAGAATGGGTTCTAGTTGCCAATTCCTAATATAAAATTCTGTTTTCGCTTTTTGTCTTTCGCTTTTTTCTTTTTTGTTTCACAGCAATATTCTCTCTCTCTCTCTCTCTCTCTCTCCACACACACACACACACACACACACACACACTGCTTTTTTCTGGGGGGGCGCAGGGGTACTCATACCCCTAAACATTTTGTGAATCTAAGTTTGGCCTCATTGAGGGGCAGTATTTCCATATGAGTAGGAAAATGAGAGTACCCCTAAGCATTTAAAAAAAAAAGCATTGTTCATATTCATATATTTACCAAATGTGTCAATAACTTTCTGTTGACACACTTGGTAAAACATTTTATTTTGTCATATTTGCTGTATTTCATTTGGATTGGTACTTTTATGTGACAGATCAAAAGAAGGTATTAAAAGGTAACATATTTTATATTATAGAGGCATAGGAAGTACTTTCTTTCCATTTACAATAATTCCATCTGGAAGCATTTTTAAAACCAAAAGACAGTAACACAAACATTATGATTAAAAATAAGAAAACTGAAATGCTTTTAGATCCATTTGTATACAGAACAGAAAAGCAAGAACTCCACAGACTACCTTGATGAGAGTGTGGAAGTAGCTAACAACAATCACAATGGAGTGAGGTTGTTTATTCCATTTTAACTCCTAAAACTGAGTTCCCTAATGGGGACTCTGTCCTGAAATGCTCTTTTCTCTGATGTTTGTTGCTGGCAGTGAGGCTCAGCTGGAATAACTGGTATTCTCCAGTCAGGGTTTATCTGTGTTAACACACTTTCCCTTGAGGGAGCTTCTGAGAATGTCTTGCTGTCAGTTCAATCTTCTTAGGACAGATCTTACTCCATTTTATATTGCCAACATTTTAAAGCAATGTTGTGACTTTGTTCTGTCCAGTACTACTACTGCATTCCCTCCAACCCTTCTCCCATGAAAATAGGGGCGCCCTAAGAAAAAGCAGAACATTCCAGGGTCAAATCAGAAACCGGGATGGCTTCTGTAAATCTGGGACTTTCACTGGAAAATAGGGACACTTGGAGGATCTGCTACTGATTAGTACTACAGTGGTGCCTCGCAAGACGAAATTAATTCGTTCTGCAAGTTTTTTCTTCTTGCGAGTTTTTCGTCTTGCGATGCACGGTTTCCCATAGGAATGCATTGAAAATCAATTAATGCGTTCCTATGGAAAACGACTTCAGACCAGGTCCGGGGACAATCTGTCCCCCGACCTCTTCTGAAGGCTGGGGGGGGCGAAAGTCTTTGCTCCCCCCCCCACGGCAGCATTTTAAAATCGCCCCGGACAGCGGAGGACTTCTCCGCTGTCCCGGGCGATTTAAAAGCCCTCCCGGGAAGGCAGCCAGGGGGGACAAAGATTTTCGCCCCCCGCCAGCCTTCAGAAGAGGTCCAGGACCTCTTCTGAAGGCTGGCGGGGGGCGAAAATCTTTGTCCCCCCTGCCTGCCTGCCTTTAAAAGCCCTCCCGGGAGAGCGGAGAAACGCAGCGCGTTTCTCCGCTCCCCCGGGAGGGCTTTTAAAGGCAGGCAGGCAGGCAGGCAGGCAGGCAGGCAGGCAGGCAGGGGGGACAAAGATTTTCGCCCCCCGCCAGCCTTCAGAAGGCTGGGGGGGGCGAAAGTCTTTGCTCCCCCCCCCCCACGGCAGCATTTTAAAATCGTCCGGGGCGATTTAAAAGCCCTCCCGGGAAGGCAGCCAGGGGGGACAAAGATTTTCGCCCCCCGCCAGCCTTCCCCTCTTTTGAAGCAAGGGGCGGCAACGGGGAGAAGATCGCTTCTCCCCTTTGCCGCCCCTTGCTTCAAAAGGGGTCCGGGGGGGGGGAGAGAGGAAGGCGCGCGCCTTCCCCTCTGTCCCCTCTTTTGAAGCAAGGGGCGGAGGGGAGAAGATCGCTTCTCCCCTTTGCCGCCCCTTGCTTCAAAAAGGGTCCGGGGGGAGAGAGAGGAAGGCGCGTGCCTTTCCCTCTGTCCCCTCTTTTGAAGCAAGCAAGGGGCGGCAACGGGGAGAAGATCGCTTCTCCCCTTTGCCGCCCCTTGCTTCAAAAGGGGTCCGGGGGGAGAGAGAGGAAGGCGCGTGCCTTTCCCTCTGTCCCCTCTTTTGAAGCAAGGGGCGGCAACGGGGAGAAGATCGCTTCTCCCCTTTGCCGCCCCTTGCTTCAAAAGGGGTCCGGGGGGAGAGAGAGGAAGGCGCGCGCCTTTCCCTCTGTCCCCTCTTTTGAAGCAAGGGGCGGCAACGGGGAGAAGATCGCTTCTCCGCGTTGCCGCCCCTTGCTTCAAAAGAGGTCCGGGGAGAAAGGGGAAGACGCCAGCATTTTAAAAAACCTCGGGACAGCGGGGGACTTCTCCGCTGTCCGGGGCGAATTTAAAATGCTGGCGGGCGGCAGCGAAGCCTTCGCTGCCGCCCGCCAGCATTTTAAAAAACCTTGGGACAAAGGAAAAGTCCCCCGCTGTCCCGGGGTTTTTTTAAATGCTGCTGGGCGGCAGCGCTGCCGCCCGCCAGCATTTTAAAATCGCCCCGGACAGTGGAGAAGTCCTCCGCTGTCCCGGGGTTTTTAAAAAACCTCTCCGCCCCCCGCCAGGCTTCAGAGCAGCCTTCCGAAGCCTGGCGGCGGGAGGAGGTCCGAGGACAGTGGGCAAGACGCCCTGTCCCGGAGATTTCCCTATGGGCTTTCGTCTTGCGAAGGAAGCCCATAGGGAAATCCGTTTTGCGAAGCATCTCCAAAACGGAAAAACCTTTCGTCTAGCGGGTTTTCCGTCTTGCGAGGCGTTCGTCTTGCGGGGTACCACTGTACTGGTCAGACCATTAGAAGCAGATTGGGCGATTAGGCCATTCATCTTTTCAAAATAGGAAAAGAACAGTTTCAGCTGTGGAGTGTTAGACGAGTCAGTTAGTTTATTAAACTGTGTCTTCTTTTTCTGAACGCATATTTATATGTTGGGACCTTGATGGAGTTGTGTGCCTGGGCCGCCTTGTGGGTGGCTAGGACTACACTTGAAGATTTTCACTGTAGGGGGGAACACAGCATTGATGTGGAAGACGCCAGTGGAAGGACCTCTGATTAAATTTAATGAACCCCCCACTTTCCAGTTCCTGTGCAACCCCCATCCACATCCTGTCCCCCATCTATAGCCACTTCCCTCCCCCATTCCCACAGCTTCCAACTCCATGTGCTGCTATTGGCTTGCTAATCAAGACACCTCTTGTCCACTATGCCCCCCCCCCCGGTGGTGGCCACTCCCCACAGAACCTCATTCCACAATTTTCTCCTTGACAAAAATGTTACAGCTTTGGTGTTCTGCTCCACTCCACTCCCTCCTCCTTCCTATATATCTGACGGGACTCCAACTCCCATCAGCTCCAGCAAGCATGGCCATTGGTCAGGAATGAAGGGAATTGAAGTCCTGCAATATCTGTAGGGTACCACATTGACTACCCCTGCCCTACAGGAAATGATGAGGCAGGCAGAATCAGTCTTTACTTTGTCAGCAATTCTGCCTTACATAAGGACATTAGTTGTTATTTTTCATTTAATTCAGTTATGAAAGATAGCTCAGTATGTGGAAAGTGGTTTTTATTTTTTATTTAATGTTTCTTCATTAATACTTATTTTGTTTATGTGGCTCCTGAAAGATTTCTCCCAAGGGATTGCAGTAATTAACATAAAAAGGTTCCATAGTCCAGATCTATAGGGATTCTTTCCCCAGGCTACTCTCTGAGTTGGTGCCAGTTTTGAGCGTCCCTATCTTGTGTTGGGACACTTTGAGATTCTGCTGGTGAACCACCCGCCTTACTTCCCAGCAGTCTCCTGCCCTGGACAGATCTAAGTTATCTCAGATTTTATGCTGAGGACCTGTAAGACAAGTTGTTCTCCTGGAAGTCCTCAACATCTGTGCCACATTTACCTTTTCTGGGGTAACTCAGGTCTTGATGGCCACCACTACAACCCTAAAGTTGTCCCATTAGCAGAATGCATGTAATAGGACACACTCTTGGTTTTCTCAGCAGAATGGAAGGTGGCTGGGTGATTTCATGGTTTGTCATGATCCATTTCCTGTTGACAAATGGCAGCCCTTCCTCTCTGAAGGATTAGGGTGCCTGTTAGAATAGTTTCCCCTAGTGGCTGATGACGTCCAGTGAAAATCCCCATGAGCCCGTGGTTGCCATGGCCCTGGAGTGGAGAGATTACTCGGGTGGTTGACATAGAAGCTCCTCAGTGCCCTTTCCCACAGAGTAGAATCTGCTGCGCTCCTTGGTATAGATCTGAGTTAAGGGCAATGAAGCAAGTTGGCAGACAGCTGGAAGCTCTCTGAAAGTCTGAACAAGCACAGATGAGTTTGTTACTGACCATGATGGCAGAAAGCAAACAGTTTTCTGCCACCATTTTGTACTCGCAGCAGAGCTTTTCTAAGTGGTTTGCAGCCTTTTTATCTTCTCAGGCCAAACCGTTTTAATTTGATGCACCTTCTACCTCGACTCCAAGTCATTTTTTCTGCTTTTTTGGTTGTGTATTTTGATTAGGTAACCCTGCCCTGAGAACCTGTTGAAGAGTAGAGTGGGAGATAAATACCCAAACCCAGTCTATGACTATGAAAAAATGGCCCGACTTGTTCTTGGGAGTTCATTTGTGCAATAAGGTCACATTAAGCTCTCCTGTTAGTTGTGATATTTAATTTGTAATGTGATATAATCTTACAGTCCACTTGTATTGCGTGCCTTACCTCCTCTTTGCTACTCTTTTAGAGCATGGTGATTTAATACCTTTTAAAAAACTTTTTGGTAACACTTAAGTAACTTTCAAAATAATTGCCTTTCAGGTTTTCCTTAGGAGATGCTCGCAGGCCTCTCCACGAGTCGGCAGTATTGGTGGAAGACATTGTCCACACTCAGCTGATTAATTTGGTAAGAAGATTGTTCTTTTGGTTTGTTTTTTTAAAAAATAAATTTGATTTTACTAGTTTCATAAAATGTATATACCTCTTGATTGTAGAAAACCTTGAAGCTGTTTACAAAAAGAATGAAACAATATTATTAATAACAGCAATTAATACATTAAAACAATTTAGAAACAGCAATAAACTAAAAACACATTAGCATTCTAAATATCTGAGTAGGCTTTGCTAAACAGACTCTGAAAAGAGCGCAGGAGCGCACCTGCCTGAGGCAGGGAGTTCCAAAGTGTAGGTTCCACCACACTAAAAGATTGATTTCTCACAAATGCAGAAGTGTTATAAGCGCATGTAACACTGCCAGTTGTCTATCTATTTCATTCAAATACCAGCAGGAGTCAAACCGAGGAAGACATAATGAGAATTAGTCAGGACTTTGCTTAGGGGGCGCAAGCTTTTGTTGGAGGTGGGCAGAACCTCAATTAGTTAAGTGTTTTCATTGATTTTTATTGTTGGGGGGGCAGCTGCCCCCTTGGCTATGCCCATGCTGTTACAGACAGGTCAAAGTGGGGAAAACTCCAGTTGCTACATTCAAAAGATGCAAAACTCAGACTGGCTCTCTCTCTGTGCCTCCTGCACGCAAACCCCATTCAACTCTCACATGCGTAGTCACATATGTTCTCTGAGAAATTAACATTAACAACACTGGCCTTCGGGAAGTGAGAATACACATGTACCCTTCTGAAAATGCAGGTCAGCGGAAGATAGTTCATCAAAGACATCAGACTAATAAGCATTTCTTTTCAGTTCCTGCTTTAGGAGTATCTAATAAGTTCATCTTACTTTTTGTTGTTGTTTAGTCGTTTAGTCGTGTCTGACTCTTCTTGACCCCATGGACCAGAGCACGCCAGGCACTCCTGTCTTCCACTGCCTCCCGCAGTTTGGTCAGACTCATGTTTGTAGCTTCGAGAACACTGTCCCACCATCTCGTCCTCTGTCGTCCCCTTTTCCTTGTGCCCTCCATCTTTCCCAACATCAGGGTCTTTTCCAGGGAGTCTTCTCTTCTCAAGATGCGGCCAAAGTCTTGGAGCCTCAGCTTCAGGATCTGTCCTTCCAGTGAGCACTCAGGGCTGATTTCCTTCAGAACGGAGAGGTTTGATCTTCTTGCAGTCCATGGGACTCTCAAGAGTCTCCTCCAGCACCATAATTCAAAAGCATCAATTCTTCGGCGATCAGCCTTCTTTATGGTCCAGCTCTCACTTCCATACATCACTACCGCTTACTTTAAGCAACACTTAATAGTTCCACATGTGTCTCAAAACCTCTTGCAAATAATAAGAAATGGCCTCCAAGAAGCCTCAAAATTCTCAAGAGTAGCTTTACCTCTTTGTTACTTTTAATGATGTGTTAATTTTTATGATACTGCTATAAATAATAGCTTTTCCCACCATACCTCTAAAGTCACATTCTGGGTAATCCTTCTAGTTCTGGTTAATAACCAAATGTGCAGCAACCAACATGAAATGTCGATTTTCCAGATATTTTCTCTGGAAAGTTCCCAGGGTTAGCCATGTTGGCACCTGCTATACTGGGTTTTTTGTTTGGAGGCATTTCCTGCTCTTTGCAATTCAGCCAAATTGCTGTCCTATGAGATCTCGCCCACTGAATTGCTCAAACTGGATCTAAATGTGGCAAAAAGGTGTATAAATCAAAGGCTGGATGATGCGGAGCTATACCAAAACTTCGTAGCTGGTGGTGGAGCCTGCTCGCCGTTAAATTTCGGCATAACCCCTATCTACTGCGCTCCGTCCTACTTAACATCGCTTATGGCCGCGTCTCACCGATATGCCTTTATTAGAGCTAGGTTCAATGTCTTTCCAACAAACGTGCTGAGACATAGATTCACTAAGGGCCAAGTCCCTTCAATGTGTGCGTGTGAAATGAAAACATCTGAATCTCTACATCATGTTATGTTTATCTGCCCTTTGTACAGTTCAGCCCGTGCTAGTATATTAAACTCCATAATCCAGCCTATGGCTGACAAACCAGTAGACCTACAGCTTGGCCTGGGTTCTTCAAGATGTGGATCCTTATATTACCCTACAGGTTGCTAAATTCCTAACAGCCGTCCTCTCGTACAAGAGACGGAATGGAATGTTAGCTGATTATTGATAGTTATAAGAATTTTCTATAATGACATCAGATATTGATTTTAGTGTAGTGCCTAAATTTTTTTTAATCTTAATCTTAAACTTTTCTTATGAATGGCTAATATTTGTCCTTGTGAGTTGAGAACTGTGTTATACTACTTGTGGCTTGTACGAGTCCGCTGTTTTATTTGATTTGATTTGATTTGTTGTGTTGTGTTTCATGATGGGCGTAAAGCCGAATAAACATTTTGATTGAAGGGGTGGCTCCCCAACAGAGGAGTGAAGTCTAGAGGCTGCGCTGCCTCCTACTGGTGGTCAGAGGGAAATCCAACTTACTCTTCCCAGAATGGGACATTTACAGTTAGGAAAAAAATACCATTTTTGTCTGATTCAGCTTTAGAGGATATCTTTTAATACTTTAAAATATGAGTGGCTTTTCTGTTCTTGTTAAATATCTATTAGGCTTTTATTTTTCATCTAGATCTTTTTAGAAAAGGAGCTCAATGTGTTAAATTCATCACCAGAAATTAACTAGCATTAAGCAAAACATGAGAAATCCTGCTCAACTGTTGTAAGAAAGTTATTTGCAGCTGTCAGTTCTTGCCAACCCAGGACCAGGAAAAGTCCTTGTTTTATGAGATTGTTTGAAGAAGTAATAAAGCTTCCTGTGCAGGACATTAATTAAAGGGGTTATCAAAATAGGACAAACTAATATAATTTGTGATTGTATAAAATAAAGGAAGTAGAGATCCCATAGGGATCTAATGAATCACAGGATGGAAACAATCTTCTGGCTAACTAAACATTCAGGCTTAGTACAAAGTCGTAGAGTGTATATACAACTCAGCAAACCGGAAAATATGGTGTGTTTACATGAATGGATGAAGGAGGTCACAAAAACCATCTGGGCAAAACCCTTGGAGTATTCATTCTGCTCCTACCGTAGAGTTTTAACAATATAACTGCAGTAATGAAGACCTAGGCTGCACCTGTCATGGGGCAGAATCAACCCAGCAGGTTCAGAAACCTTACAAAAATAAATATTTTCATTTGTCAGGAGGTTGTAGCATTCAGGGTTATATTTTCACTTGGATTGTGCTATAAGTTGTATTTATCAGTTTTTGAGAAACGTACTAATTCAAAATAAATGAAATAATGGATGATTTCATACCTAAAGGCCAAAATTAAGTCATTGTGTTGTTTATATTTGTACTATGGCTAAACTGTGTAAAGCACATATTGTTTGGGGGCTTTAAATCTCTAGATGGCATCAAAATGACTAATAGGTTCTCAGCCAAAGTTGCTAATTGTTTGGATAATGCTTATTACCTATTGCAACAATCCACTTCAGGATAGGTTAAACTTATTTTCTATGATATAATGGAAGTGTAATCTAGCTCTTCTTTCCCAGTCCCAAATATAAAAACAGGGGAAGATCTCTTAGGGAGGGAGGGAGGGAGGGAGGGAGGGAGAGGTAGTCTTTTGTTCCTAAACCTGTAAGAGCTGCACATTATAAGAAATGTGGGGTTGCTGTTGACAATGTCAGCCCTATCCCAAGTTGTCCCCCTCCCTTCTTGGTCCAGTTCCTTGCCTCATTACTCTGCTGTTTCCCTGCCTGTGCCAGCTGCAGCCAAGAGGGTGTAGCAGGGAAGCACACATGGGCTTTCATTAGGACATGGAAGAAGTTGTGCTACAGATGCAGAAGGGGCAACTCTGCCCAGTGCTACCATTTTTGGACGTACCCTCATCTTCCACCTGGTGTGTAAAGGTAAAGGGACGCCTGACCATTAGATCCACTCATGACCGACTCTGGGGTTGCGGCGCTCATCTCGCTTTATTGGCCGAGGGAGCCGGCGTACAGCTTCCGGGTCATGTGGCCAGCATGACTAAGCCGCTTCTGGCAAACCAGAGCAGCGCACGGAAATGCCGTTTACCTTCTCGCCGGAGCGGTACCTATTATCTACTTGCACTTTGACATGCTTTCGAACTTCTAGGTCGGCAGGAGCAGGGACTGAGCAACGGGAGCTCACCCTGTCACAGGGATTCGAACGGCTGACCTTCTGATCAGCAAGTTCTAGGCTCTGTGGTTTAACCCACAGCACCACCCGCGTCATACTTTTGCCCAAATGGAGATCTTGCACTCACTATAGCTAATGTCATTTCAAGACTGGTAGTTTTTCAGATGGACAGTTTGGCAAAGTTAGGTTCACCGGACCAAACTTGGACCCAGGTCAGCAGGGGTGACAGGGTAGCATATTCCACATTACCAGCTAGAGTACTGAGACAACTGTGTCACTGTTCTCCCTCAAGGTAGTTTTCCCCTCAGTTCCTGTTTAGTGCTATAATGGTCGGATCAGCTGCCATCTGCATGCAACCTTGACAAGTATTGATGGATTAAATTAATACTTGGATGTATTTTTAACAACCACTTCAGCGGCATTTAATGGAGAGAAATCATTGTAGCTTCTAATACTCAACTTATCTGATTTCAAGTGAACCTGATGGTTTGGGAATCAGTTTTTCTAAGGAAGATTGGCTTGTTAACAGTATTATGCAGTTACAAGCAAATGTGGTCACAGCTGGTTCTGGTTTTTTAGCTTATCCACCTGATTGGAAACAACAGGTTTTTGGTATTTTTCCATTTCTTACACTGACACCTAGTGTTCACTATTTCTGAGCTTCTTGCTAATGAGTTGCTGGCATGGCTAAGGTAATAGCGTACTCTAAACAATGCTCCATCTCACCCTTTAAAAGTGCACCATAATTACACGGCTTACTGATTTGCTCACCTACACTGAAAGAAAAACTCCATTATTTCTCAAAAAAATACTGTTCATGAGTGTAAAAAAAATTAAGTCCTATG